ATCTGTTTTTCATGGCAGGACTTCACAAAGTCAGGGAATTCCCCGCTTGCCCAGACATGGACATGGTTGATGTGCTTATGTTAGCCTGATGCAGGACAGAGAAAAACAAGGAGCTACACAGAGAAGGACCCTTTTGAGGTCATATCTTGTTAGCACCAGCAGACTTGGGAATGCGTCTCTAGAAGCTACTTGTTTCTGTTTGTTTCTACTGTATTCAAAGAAAGGAAAAAATGCTCTAGTTACTGTTTTGTGAATAAGCAAGACCACACTGAGAAATACTCTACATTTATATGATCAGTCTCCTCCACATAGAAAGTCTGTAACAGGTGACAGCATACTTACAGGCCGTTCTTTGAACCTTTCCATGCTGTCTCTCACACAGAGGAAGAACATCTGCACATTCTGCAAATTGCAGTTTGATTTCTTAGCTGAAAGCTGTGAAAATCTCATTGCAAACATTTACAATTTAGTCTGAGCCACAGGAGCTGTAACTGGTACATGGTGCTTCCAATGCAGTTTGTTTGCGAGATGAAGGCTTTAGTCCCAGCCAGAGCAGAAACACACCCCCCCTAACATTGGGAAGTCTTGCTTAAGGAAATCCAGACTGACAACTTCTCTTCTTACTGCAAATCACCGCCTGGTGCAATTTGCAGTTTGACTGCTGCTGTCTTTCCCCCAGCACACCTGCAGGTAAAAAGGCATCACAAGCAACACGTCATCCCCAGGCGAGGAGCAAGTGAGGTGATGGTGCCAGCTGTCTGTACGGAGCTGCTCGTGGTCCTCCTTGGCTGGAAGGATGGTTGGTCGGTAGGTACAGCTTTGGCTTTGAGAGGGCAAGGGAGATGAGCCACAGAACAAACAGGAGCAATAAGAAGCATCTTCAGAGCTCTGCCAAGGATTTATGGAGTGTTTTGTCTATCTGAGAGGGGAAAGAAGACGGACTGAAAAATATTCCCCCCTGCCCCAGGCAGAGAGGGGGCACCAACAGGATCAGGAAACATGGCAACGTCTTTCACCACTGCAGCACCCAGTGAGTCCCCACTTGGCTCTTGAGAAAGAGGCACATTCCTGAATGCACATAGGAGTGTTAGTCCCCTGTTCTCACTGCTCTGGGGCTTAACACTACTAACATGCCTGTATGAGTCCAAGCAAATATGGAAAAAACCCCTGATATTTGCTGATTAAATGCTGCTTTTGGCCTGTCTTTCTTGCACAGAAAAATGAGCAGGCTCAGACTGCCTCACTTTTCCCTGTATATCAGACACTGGCCCCTAACAGGACAAGAAGAACAGGACTGAACCAGAGGGACCAGAGACAAGGAACCTGCAAGACCTCCAGGTTCTGCCATGCCAGTTCATAGAGAACTTGTTGAGCCCTGTAGCCCTAATACTACATGGTTGCTGCCTTCATAAATTACCCCTCCAAACCCACCTGCAACACGAGTAGAATGGGCTTGAGATTACTTTGCTTCTTTCTGTACCTCAAGACAACCAACTACACATTATAGTCACCCACATCTAGATGGCTCCCCTTGCCACGCTGCCGTGTCTCTCCCAGCTGCAACGCCTGAAACCCCCAAGGGCAGAGTTTCCTTAATTAATCTTCAGAGAGACTTTTTTATTCTTTCTTTTTCCATTTCTGAGTTGTGACATTTCCTGCCAACTTTCTGCTTGGCGTGAATTTCTACAACAGAGCAATATAACTTCTGAAAATAGACACTCATGCTGGAAAGCTTGACACACCCTATATGGAGCCTATGAGTGGCAGAACCATAATCAAAAGGCAGTCAAGACACTAGGCCATGCTAGCAGCATTCAATTAAGGCTCTGAGCAAAGCAGCCCTAAGAGAAGAAAGTAAATGGGGACTCTATAAAATGCTGTTGCACAGAACCCCCCAGGCTCTTTTAATCACTGAGAGGCATTTGAGTTTGTATTCTTTATGGTAATCCTAGCTCGGGCAAGATATTCTATAACACGTTCAGAATCTCTTTAAAAATAAAAATTCATGGAAATGGCCAACTTGCCATGATTTCCTGATAGGAAACTGCATGCAAAGCCTGTTGGGAAAAAAGCCAGTAGTCGTATGATACAAGTCTGAGCTCTGCCTGTCATTAACAAGGGTGGGTTTTTCAGGGTAAATTTTTCCTGGGCCAAATAACAGGAGACTGATAAATAAAGCCTGTCAACTGCCCTTTCTGACTCACTCTCTCCTGCTGGAAGGCTGACTCACTGTCATGTGTGAAAAGCTGCCAGGTCTTGCTTACATGCTTAAACAAGCATGGGTTGTCTGTGTTAGACATATATTACCTCAGAAGAAGCAGATACTTAACGCTGAGAAGGCAGCCCTGGAAAAGACTCTGCTGACTAAAGGATCTGAACTTCAAGATATTTCTCAATCCTTTCTGGAAAGTTCAAGGTTGTTGTTAGATTACCACAGAAAACTTAGTCCCAAAGCCATGGCTGAGGGTTTGGCTGACAATCACAGTGTTTTAAAACTGAGACTCAACAGGACCATCAGATTTTACCGAGGTAATTCCTGCAGAGTGAAACAGACAGCATGTTCTAGGTGCAGACAGAAGTAACTGAGACCATGCCTGGTCCAGAGCTGCCTTTTGTCCAAGGAAAATGGTGTATGAAAAGCAGTCACTTCTTGCTCACTATTTTATGGTGAGAAAGTACTCCCAGGGGGCTGCTCCACTTAAGGAGACTGTGAGGAACCTGTCTCGAATCTGGAGAGGGGCAAACAGAGCATGTTGAACATTATCTCACAGTCTGAGTAGCTCATCAGCTGCTTTTGAGCAACACCAGTAGCTGCTCGGTGCTTCCTTCTCTCAGCAGTGACACAGACCTTGCAGGTAAGTGACAATGCACAAAAAGCTCCTTCGCATCCAGGAGCTTTGTTGCCTACATGAGTGTGTGCTCCACCCTTCAGTCTTCTCCTGTCGTCCCGGGCCCACCACAGGCCAAGTGTGCAACTCTCTGCCTCAGGCACTGCAGGGACTGTTCACAAATCCCAGTTATTAGCAAATACCACAGACTACATTGCCCTACAGGACTGATGTGGCAAAGGACACCTTTCCCTCCTACTCAGTTTCTAAGGCCCCATACAACGCCTGTTTGCTTGGAGGTGACAAAGCAAGGTGCTTTTGCAAGGACTAGTGTACTGGGATGTCAATCCACAGATCAGAGTGTCACATCGAGAGAGACAAATCTGTACCCCATCCTTTAGAATATAGAGGATTCCTAACACAGGAACTGAAAGGTTTCCCCCAAGACCAAGAGATGGAAGCTGTGCTGTAGCCTCCCTCAGCTCCAGGTATTAGCCAACATCAGCAGGGAAACCATGCTGCTCCAGGGCAATGATACCACAAGCGCCTCTTGCGTGTTCAGCCAGGTATGCACTACCCAGGAGTCACCCATGCAGCCAGGAAAGACAGTTGCATATGCTTTGGCCCAGCCAAGCTCTCAGGAAAACTGCAACTAAAGCATCATCTCAAGGTCTCATCACCATTTTTCAGACCATATGAGCACTAACCTGCCTGCTCAAAATGGATGCATAACCTAGAGATGTTCATTTTGAATAAAGAGTGCACCATTTCACATCATGTATATGAGGAAGATACAGCAGTCTCACATACAGTTCCAAATATATCTTTGCATTTCTTCTCCTTTGGGAAATAATGTGTTTTCCATCCCACAAAATTTCTAAGAGGTTATTTTTAAATATTTTTTGCTCTGTACCAGAACAGATGTCTAATGAAAAGCTTGAGAGAGGAACTACAGGCCACAACAGCCTCATCCAAAGATAAAAGGAGTCACCTGACACATGGAAAACAAGCCTAGGTCACAGTGCTACTTAGGCATTAATATAACATGTGCCAGTCTAAGTGGAGAGACTAAATAATACCTGTGAATCTGCAGTTCAAGTGTCTCTCTCAATAAGGCAGTGCAGGGCCAAACTACATAAGTGATCTAGTCCCTAGACTACTGGTTACCCCAGAATAAGTAAATTTCTCATCATAATTGTGCTGCAAAATTTCATCCTTTTAAAAACTAAGCCATACATTGCAAGGGAAAATTGTATTATTTTTATCCAACATAGATATATTTTGCTGAAAAACTTCCAAATCAGCACTAATGTGCCATATTTCTCCTCTTAACAATGATGAACATATTACCTCTCTGGTTTTCTTCCACTGTTTAATCATCCATTATTTTTTCATTGATTCTCACTGACTACGATAAAGTCAGGATTTCCTCCTAAAGTTTCCTCCTGAGGCTAATGATTAGCATGCACAGATAGTCTTCTAGGTAAAATGACACAATTTCTTACCATTAATTCATTTTGTTTCAAGATACTGACATCCCAACTACATATTTTAAGTCTGAACATCCAAGATCTGCTTTTCCAATAATGTAAAATAAATTATAAATATATATATATCATTAAAGAGATTATATGAAATTGAGATTTGCTAGTTATTTTAAATAACAGCATTTCTCTTTGCTATACTTATTTCATAATGAGCCATAAATTTTATCTGAGAACAAAACAAGAGATGATGGAAATAAAGAAAGAAGTAAGCACAATATATTAAAGATGCCAGAGTAACTCCCTTTAAAAGCAAGATTTCAGCAACTTTTAGACTGTAGTAAGTCATGTCTCCTGGTTGCTTTGTTAACCCTTTAGAAAAAAGAGGGTTGGCATTAAAATCAATAATCATATTCATCTGCAGGTGTGAAAACACTTTCCAAAATAAGCCAGTAAAATAATCTTCTCAGAAATGGTACAATGAAGGCATTAGGATTAAGGAAAAATAGTGACAGAACCAGGAACTACAGCCCAGGTCCAGGTCTCCAGTCACCCAGTTGAGGGAGGCCCTTGTACGCTGAACTACCCCCCTCTGACAAATGAGTTCGGCTGCTCAAGCTGCAGTTTCAAAGTGGTTTACTTGGCAATGTGAAACCGTGCCACTCAGCATGAGAAGATACCACTTCTGCTAGTTGCTCTGATTTCTGTCACCTTCTGCCATTGCTCTTGACAGCACATTGCTCTGAGTACTATGCCTGTTCGGGGGGTTTCTCAGAGGTGGCAAACGGAGGTCATCTGTCAGGATGGAGAAAACACTCCTTATTCTTCCTTGTTCTTGTTCTCTTTCTTTTTCTTGTTCGTTTTCCTGTTCGTGTTCTTGTTCTTTTTCCTGTTCTTGTTCTTCCTCCTCTGTTGTCCCATCAGACATGCTCATTAAAGATTTTAACTCACTACAATGAGCTCCAATGATGCCCACCCTGTTAGAAAACATCATGTTAATCTCCTTGACACAATGAAGTAAAGGAGAAAAGGAGAAAGGGGGACAGATTTGTAATGTTTCCTAGGTAAAGCACCAAGGAACCTTGCCTCCTTTAGCAGAGAGTATCTGCTCTTCGACAGGGAAAAACAAATGACCATGTTTATACCCTCAGCAGCTTGCACAGCACGTCATGATCTCCAGGGAGATCTTATAGCGGCCTTCCAGTACCTGGAGGGGCCTACAAGAAAGCTGGGGAAGGACTTTTCATAAGGGCAGTTAATGACAAAACAAGGGGAAATGGGTTTAAGATGAAAGAGGGGAGGTTTAGATTAGATATTAGGAAGAAGTTTTTCACTGTGAGTGTGGTCAGACACTGGAACAGGTTGCCCAGAGAAGCTGTGGCTGCTCCTCCCTGGAAGTGTTCAAGGCCAGGCTGGATGAGGCTTTGAGCAACCTGGTCTAGTGGAAGGTGTCCCTGCTGATGGCAGGGGGGGTGGAACTGGATGAGCTTTAAGGTCCCTTCCAACCCAAACCAGTCTGCGATTCTGATTCTACGTTTCTGTCTGGAGTGTGTGTGCACACCGTGTGAATCGCAGACGTCCAAGCGAAGCTCAGCGCTGCCTGGAAAGGTTGGCCCTATGATATAGGGACCCTCTGCACAAGCTCTAAAGCCAAGATGCTCAGGATGCAGCCAGCTTCCAAAGCACGCACAAAACAACTGCGTGTGCATTTGGAGGAAATTTCACAGTCTCAAGAAATACCAGAGTCGCTGGTCGTGTGTTGTGGATATATCCAAAGATTTTGTATTTACAGTGGTGCAGTATTCATTAGATTGCCAGAACTCTGGAAGATCCAGACAAATGAAGGCAATTCTCAAATTCTAATTTCCAGGTAGAAAAAGAAGACTTATGAGGGGAAGTCTTACAGGGAGCCTTACACACACTTCAACAGAGCAAAACTGATTTACAGCGGTCCTGTTTACATGAGTGATCACATTAAAAAGTACTGTAGTGATACTGCTATTAACTATGGCTGGATGGGAAATGCAGTTTCTCTCATGTGGTGTACCCAGGCTTGAAAGATTTTGGTTTTATCATGAATCAGAATAAAAGGTTCTATTTCTATCGCAATTGAAATTCTATTTTTTTAAAGTACAATGTAGTAACAAAATTACTTTTTCAGAATAAAGTACATCAGTAATGTCTGATAAGAACTCTATTAAAAACTAAAAGTCAAGAAAAATTAAGAAATTTGAATGAATCATGACAGGGGAAAAAATAAACATTTTGTTTGCATTTTGAGTGCTTTCGATTAATTTCTGTTCAAATTTAAGTTACAGCACATTTCCTTTCCCCAGAAAACTTCTGAGTTTTGACAAAGCACTACGAAGGGCAGTAGCTGCTTTGCCATCAGTTAACCAAGAGTACCACCTCTGCAGGTTCAGGCTCTCTCAGGTCCCTCAGGACCTACACTCCTGTTCCTCTCTAACACCCATGTAGACCAAATCGTCAGTCCCATGGCTCCTCTCTTGGTGAGGACGAGTTAGCTGTCTAACAACCTTCCTCATAGCACTACCAAATCTATTTGTGCAGAGAAATAGCCCCTTACTTGGTAGTGAACAATTCGGAGAAGTCCGGCAGACTATCACGCGTGCCAGGTTGAGGGTCTCTGCCCCGAGAGAAGTGTTTCTGGGAGAGGTGCTGAGCACTGTCCTTCGGTAAGGGCAGCAGCGTGCTGAGCACTGGCGAGCGCTGGTGAACCATGCTGCTAACGGGAGGATGCTTGGCACGGACTTTTCTTTAAAGAAAACAAATGCAGGTGTTAGCTCAGTGTATTCAGACAGGGCAGGTTCCTTCAGGACTCACCAGCGTGTCAGGTGTGTACCTCAGATACGGCAATTGCATGGCATTTGCAGCAGCAGTCCAGTCTCCTGCTTTCTGCAATCTAACATTGTTCTTGTCACTTAAGGTGGGATTGAACACGTCGAGGAAAAGAAGCCTGCTGATTTCTTCCCGAATCACTCGGAAGTGCTTCCGTCTGAACACAAGCCAAGCCACATAGCTGCAGAAGTTGCAGAGGCCCTAAATTGAAAACACAGATCCCCTTTTCACTGGGAAAACACCCAGAGTCCCCCTGCATCCCAGAGCGCTGCTTGGCATGACTCCACTAAAGTGCCAGCAACCATTAGGCATCAAACTTTACAGTGCATGCATCAGTGAAGATTTGAAAGGACTTGTTTTTTAAAGGTATGCAGACAGACAAGGCTAGAAACAGAGTGAGCTCAGGTGGATTTCATCGTGATCAACTCTGACCAATTTGGCTTAGTCTTACTGCTGGAAACTGAAGAGAGAACCTGAGATCACCCTCCAGTTTCCCTCAATAATCAATGGAAAGAGACTGATGGGATGAGTCAGTTCCGTGGGGGTTCCTATCACACTCATCTGTCTCAAGAACCAACGATTCACCCTCTGGCTGAGCTTCTCTCTTCTGCAATGGCTGTGAAGGCAGCCGAAGGGCATGGTCTGACTGGACAGCTATTGTTTGGGCAGCTGCAGGTAGACAAGATGATCTCCACCCTGAATGATGGCATTATGATCACAGGAAATATTACTACCAAATAGGAAATCATTGCATCTCACCTCCACATGTCTGCTTGCTGATTAAAAAAACAAAATCTAGCTTTTCACTTCAATTTAACATTCGTGATCCCTAGCATAAGCTGAATCAACTCCCAGTAAATTGAATGGTAAATTAACTAAGTCTGTTCTTCAAAAGATGGCATTGCTGGGACTGCTGTGCATCCTTGTCCCCCTCTTTCAAGGAAAAGGTTCCCAGTTTATGAACTACAAAGTGTAATTTGGGCCCAGCTCTTTTGTATTAATTTGCTGAAGCCCTGATACACATTGAGTCTCATAAGTGGCTCATGGAGCTGTATGTTGCAGGCCAGAAGAGCTTACTAGCTTCTAGAAATGTCACCAAGGGCAGTCGAAATAAAAGAAGGCTGTAAAATTTCTTACCTACACAGATGAAACTATGAGGCCAATGATGAGAAGAAACCTATAGTCCAGACTTCCCAGAGAGACCTCAGGCTGTGGTAGGAACTGCCTGAGATCTGAGAGCCCCAGAGGGACTGAAATTCCCCAGCTGAGGGCTCCAAGGGGAAAAGACTTGGGCTGAAAAGCAAAGAGATGGTAGTTTACAGAGACATCTAGGCCCTAGAGGTAAAATTTTATTCTGGGTGCTCTGCCCTACAGGTAAACTACTGGAGGAACCAAAAAGGAAAAGAATTTGGATGTGGACATGTTCTGGGCTGACAATCAGTCACACTCTCCATTTATCTTTGTGTCTTTCTTACCTCAAAGAAGCGCCGATCTTTCTGCAACGTGGTTCTTCTCCTAAGGCAGTGAACAAGAGCACAAAATTAATAGCAGCAGTCGTCTTTTCAGTTCTCTGAACAGAGCACTGAAGATGACTCTTGGGACTATGCCAAGCTGGCATTTCACCAGGGCAATAAAGTTGTTGCTGGTAGACCCTCATTACTAACATGCAGAGACCCACTGTCCAAGAGAAAGGCAGGACCCCTGCATTGCCTCAGAAGGAGAAAATGCAAAATATTGTATGGCTCAGTTAATTAAATCTGACCGAGAACAAAGCTGGATGTGATGAGCAGGCGAGGCTCCCCTGCTATGCTATCTAGACTGAGCTCTTTGCACGCAGCTCTCAAAACTGATCTAACCCAGTTCCCACTGAAGTCAATAAAAAACTCTTCCTGACATCACTGGAAGAGCAATGAGCAGAGTTACCAAGGGCATAAAGCCAGGCCAATGCTGAGACAATAAACTTGAAAACTGGGAGGGAGAATCCTGATATATCTCCAAGAAGAAATGTAAAACGTGCCCAGGAACTACAAAGGGCTTTGGTTAAAGAAGCAGCAATTTGCCCAGTGGAAGCCTAAGAGATGCTATCGCCACCCACTTGAGCCTGAGGATTGTCACACAAAGCCAAGTGACTGTCCATCATGGAGATAGCCATTAAAGTAGAGGGTGATGCACACATGCCAGCAGCCACTCACTTCTCCTGGAGATGGCACAACTCACCCTCATGGAAATGAAAGCAAAGTTTCCCTGCTAGCCTGTAGATCCTCACAGATCTGTCTTAGCCCTGCCAGCTGCATAGGAAAGCCTGTCTCTGCATCAACTCACCAACTCCTGACATGTCCTTTATCTTCTTGATAACATCAAGTGTTGCACACATCTAGGATATCCCCAGCTGCCATCACCCCAGAACCATTAATGCAGAGCAGACCATGAAGATAATACCTTTCAGGTATCTTTTTGATCAAGAAGACTCTGTACCTCCCTACCTGGCTCCCACCAGCCATAATCCTGCTGACACTTCACATATTGTGCAAGGGAAAAGAAGCTCGACTCTGCAAGCATGGTGTGGCTGTTTGCCAAAGCAGAACTCCCAGAACAACTCTGATGCTTTTGATCCCTTATGAATTCTGGTAAAGCACAGCATTCTGTCTTCAGAACATCAGAGAAATAAAATGAGCCCAGCTTCTTAAACCTAAATGTGAAACCCAGCTTTTTACCTTTTAACATTACATAGCTTGTGCAGAGAAACCTATGTGGAGGCCAGAAACAGAAAATAAGAGTCAAATAAGGCCAGGTTCTCTTCCTCCCAGTGCTTTCTTCCTTCAGGTGAGGTATTAAGCTAAGGGACTTGCTTGAAGTAAAGTTTCCTAAAATAAGTGTTGAATTAGGAGGCACCTCCCATGTGTAGGGCGCTGTTGCTAACTACCTAGAAAGGGTCAGGAAAACATCAAACTTGCAACAGGATTCAGGGTGGGACCTGTAAGAAACCTGAATGAGTGAGCAAAGAGCATCATACCTTCTAGTCATACCGTAACATTGATTTCTCAGAGCTGTCAGGTGGACAGGCTGAGTTCATGAATAAAAGAGGAGGACAGCACAGCCAAGGGACGACAGTGCAGTGAGTGTGGGGTTTGGACACAAGATAATAGTTACTTCAGACATCTACAAGAACTAATATTGGCCATAGGGGCACATGGGGAAGAAATACTTCCTGTGTCATTTAGCAGCTCCCTCCACAGCAGCCGTGACCCTAATTGCCCATGGATCAAGCCATCTTCAAGGATCAGTAAGGGCCAGCTCGACTGTGTTTGCACCACTGATGTGTGCAGCTTTGGGAACACACTGTATTTTTCCCATTATAACAAATGCCCATAAGGAAACTGGCACCACAAAAAGGTTGCACAACCCCCATCAACTTAAAAGGAGAAAGCCAGACACACCTATTCCTTCCTCAGCGTTGGAGGCACAAAAGGACTAATGCTAACATATACAAATAACAGGTCTGGAGGAACTCTCTCAAACTCCAGTCTGGCATAGTATCAACATAGGATTTTAATGCTGCATTTTACAAATCATGTAAATTGTGAAGAGGAAGATGCTCTCCACCTAAGCCTCCCTTTTTAAACTTTCAGAGAAAACCTTTACATTAAAAATCAATAATTTCATATGAACACATAGACATTTGGCAGATCTGGAAAGGAAAGCAGTTTACCAACACTGTATGAAACTTCATTAAAATGTTGCTATGGTGAATTAGAGTAAAAAGCAAAAGCTTCAACACCATCATGAACCTATAGTTGGATTTCAAGAAAATATAGTAAAACTGAGGGTGGTGCGTTATCAATAGTTTGAGTCTCAGCCTTTTAATCTAAAAATTTTTCAGGTTAAAAAAAACCTCATCAAAAGTAACCCTCATCACACTTTCCATTTTGATGAAGGACCTTTCCCATCCAAAAACATGTCTGCTCAAAAAATTCCTAATCATCTTTTATAATTAACAATGTTAATCAGTTCTGTCCCTTAGCTCTGGTTTTTGGCAGTACATATAATGATTTGGGAGGATCCAGATAACATTTAAGACTAAACTGAGTCAGCCTGGAAAAATTATATTTATATAATTGCAGTATGGTATGGGAAGTGCCATGTATTATAACACGCTCAGCATTAGCCTAACTCTGAGGTCAGCTGTAGTCAGCTCCTGCCACCCTGCTATGAGTAACTCAGTGAGGTCTCTCTTCATCCAACATCTTACACCACGAAGCCTCTAAGACACAGCTCTTCTCTAGCCTTTGTGCTTTCCCAGCCTGGACACCGACATCCCAACCTACTGCCAGCCTCTAACCCCAACTGTGATGGAAATATCAAAGGACACAGTTTCTGCTTTCAGCTCTCTGCTGTCACTCCCATGCTGCTGGTTTTTTGCCACTAGACCTCTTGCTTGCCTCATCCTGCACATTCCCATCCACCAGAGGAGACAAGTGAGCGAAGAGGCAGCAGAGCTAACTAGCTGGTTATATGACAGGCTGTTTTATCCAGCTGCGTCCAGTTCTTGGATTCAAGTTACTTTCTGCAATAAGTTCCCACAACTGAGTCTCATAAGTGCAGACATTAGGGCCGCCCGACAGAAATGCTGTCATGACCCTCCCTGTCCAACC